CTCCCGTGTGACACTAGGGGGTGTCTTAATATTAATAATAATAATAATAATACAATCTGCATGAGAAAACTCTGTTGCACATGACATACTCCCATGCAGTTCTCAAAGGTTTTTCAGATTAAAATGAGACGCTGTGAAACTCTGCTTAACAGACTTTCACCTGATTTTCCCCCCCTCCCTAACCTTTGTCCTCATTAGTCCCATCAAAATGCAATTAATAACCCAGCACGTTTGTGTCTGGCACCATTCACTGTGGGATTCTGTCCTCTTATCAGCACAGTGGTTTGTTTTGCTAGAGGCACGCCAGCCATATCTGTGGGTGGTTTCCACTTGACAGTTTGACTCTCACTTTAAGGCTATTCCTGAGCTCCAGGGCACGCCACGGCGATGATGAACTCATCCATCAGGGTGCCGCTCAGGCTCCTTCTCGCGAGTGCACTTCCAATTGATTTGATTTGATGAAGACGGTGGCCTCATTAAGATCTAATTTAGCGCATCATCTCAGAGACCTGCCATCTCTGGATGAAGCTCACCTGCATCCTCGTCGCTTTCTCACCGCCTCGGGAAGGCAGAAAAATCTCTTGGAAACCGAAAACAAAAGGACAGGAAACAAAAAAAAGTAACACACGAAGGACTTTTCAGGACAAGAACACAGAGGTTTCCTCTTTTCAAGAAAAACACCAGCTAAAGTAACCACAGTGAATCACAGAGGACTGGAAAACTGACAGCAGAGAGAGAGAGAGAGAGAGAGGAAGGACACTATGAATGACTCTACAATCACATATGATGGCACTGACTTTCCAGCAATCAGTCACATCTAAAGACATGCAATTTATGTCCTCAGACGTTGCTCAATCCAGTGCTGTGCACTGGAAACGACCACTAAGCAAAAAGCAAACTTCCCCCCTCCCCACTATTTTCTTTTTGTTGCAACAGAAACAGTTTGTTGTGTCTTTAAAACTTTATTGTGTCTCTTTCCTTGTCCAAATCCAAATTCAGCAACATAACAGCCGCACTGAAATCACCTGGAGGCTCTCCAACTAACACTTTCCACTTGCAGGAAGGCCTACCTGTAAATGCACTGCACGTGATTTGTGTTACGAGCACTCACTTAAAAAGAACCTATAATAACATAATTAATATCTGCAAGTCTACTGTACTGTCGTGGAGTTTTATTTCCTATAAATGAGAAATAATAGTAACAAGCGGTGCTCCCAAATAAGGGGGAAAACCCCACAGTGGTTCTTACCTTGTTATCTGTGTGTGCCCATGATCCAGTTGCGGCTGCAGGATTTTTGAAAATGAACTGATTGTGGGCTGTAAGTTATCACAGAAGAGCGGAAAAATCCTAACAGATGCGGAGAAAATCTTCCAAAAACAGTGAGCTGATATCCGGAAACTGCGCTCTGGACTAAGCGCAGAAATAACAACAAGAACAAGCTGCACTCAGGCGCAAAGATATTCTTATTCTTCTTTCAGAGGTGCATAAATCCAGAGTGGAGTGGACAGAGGGGAATAACCTGCAGTGGCCGATGTGTTTCAGAGTAAAGTTTTTTTTTTCTTCTTCTTCTTCGCCCTGCGCTTTGCTTGTCTCAACACACACTACGGAGAGGAGCGAGAGAGCCGAGTTTCACCCCGGAGCTGCGCCTCTGATGTCAGCAACAACGTGAGCTCCAGGAAGTGGTGACGCTGTCCGGTGGTGCGTTTCCACGGCAGCGGCTTGAAACCTCAGAGAGTACCGCCACACCGTGGACATCAGGGGCAAATACATATTGTCCGGTGCTCCTACGCTCTGTGTCGAAAAGTTCAGGTGGACGGAGGTGCTGTGCTATACTGCAAATACCGCTATCGATCCAATGCCAAGTAAACACATGGGGCAGCAGTGATGATAGCAATGTCAATACTTTTAACTTATAAAGGCAGCTGACCTCCGTACATTAATGCTGGGAGATACTGCAAGTTTTTTGGTATTGATCTGATACCAACTTAACGTATAAAAGCAGCTTGTGTAGGGGAGGGCAGTGTGTCATGACTTGTGAGATTAATCATCATCAATTTGCAAATTGTGACATTTTTAATGACCACTAAAACACTGAATTTTACACATTTTTTAAATTTTGCCTGTCTCTAAAGCATTGTGGGTCCTCTTCTGTTGCTGTGTGTTGTTGCGCTATAACTGTGACATAATTAAAGCTACATGCTGAACTTAGAAGATAGAAACAAAGTATCAATCCTACTGAGTCAGATACCAATACCAGCCTTGGTATTGATTCATACATTTACATGTAGTGAGCAATATGGTGGACACAGCAGGTTATGAAGTTGGCATTAGGCACAATCAGATTGGACAAACTTCATGTACCCAGTCAACCATCCCATCCAAAGGAAGACGAGCTAAAATCCAAATGTCATTGTTTTTTAGGGGAAGTATTTATGCTTTTTTCCCCTCCTGTTTGTTTCCTTTATTTAACTACAGTGTGTGATTTTAATTGTATCCGTATGTCGATACATAGCATGCGGTAGAAAGGACAAAAATCGTGACACAGCTGTTGATGGGTTGAGGATTGCCACTTTAAAGGTTATGCAAGATGAGCAAGCATGAGTCTGATTAGATATATGTCAAATTTTCATATCATGCTGCACATCAATCTGGCAAAGTTTTGGTTTTTCTGGGGGTTTTTGGTGGTGGTGGGGCAGTGATCAGTTCTCCACACATGCCTACCTCATCAGTGCAGCTGAAGTGTTTCTAACTCCCCTCACTTGATCTCAGTGGGTTGACAGTGCCTGTTGACTGTCATCATAGCTCCATTTGAGCGCTTTAAATTGTCAGATAAAGAGCCCGAACACTTGCCTACATTACTGAAGCCTCTCTAAATGGCCACAATTTCACTGGATCTGCAGCAGGCTTAAGAGGTGCATGAACTTGGTTCAAATAAATATTCAAATATGTCAGTAAGATGTCCATTACATCTGCAAACACTGTGATACTATTTTACTATTAGCATGGATAATAATCTGTATCTTTTCCCTGCATGTCAGCTAATAGGAGACACACACATGGCAGCACATTGCTAACTGGATTATAAGTATTACACCTCACTAAATGATCAAATGCTCTACTTAACCACACACCACTGACTATTTTTGCCTCTCATTTGATTGCTGAGCATTTGCATTGTGCATTTCATTTGTATCTTGGGGAAACAAAGGCTACCTGTGTACCAAAAATTATTTATAATGGGCATAAAAACACAACCCGGAGGGAGACAATCAGAATGACGAATGCTTAACTGACCTTGGGCCCAGCATCAGATTAGTTCCAAACAGCAGTGTTTTATTGTGATCAGACATGCCCTTGCTCTCTGTAAGACTGCTTCAGTGCAATGAATATCAATTGGACATTTGCATCTCTCTATGGATTTGAGTGCTTGTAGATGCTAAACTGTGCTGCAGATGAACACGGCATGCAGCTGTTATGAACACTCACAGCCTGTGAGTGTGGGGGAGTTCACATGTTTTTTATTTGGTTTTTTTCTAGCATCACCTGAGATAATTTTGGAGATCAGGAGGGTTCCCCAGAGACAAACCACATACTATACCATTATATACTTGAGTCATATACGCTTACATATAGGTTGTAGTATATAACATAACCTTTGTCTATTGGCCATCTGCAGAAATATTAAAATCATACTAATATTCATGTGTCTCATGTGTAAAAAAACATGCGGAATGATTTTTAAACTGATTGCCTTTACGAGTGCTGGGAAAAGCAGTTAGAATACAGTATATGTTTAATGAACATGTTTACATACTGGCGCTTATCCTTCTAGTCTTTACATTTTGCTAAGTGGTCTCCTAGAAAAATGCAAAAAATGCACATGCAAACTGTGGCTGATATCGATTTGTTGGGAATCAATGAGGCCTCTCTGTCAGTAAGAGGAGCGCCTCAGGGAACCCTTAAAATGCTGGGAAAGTCTTTTTTTAAAGCAATGTTCAAAGCTTTTCTAGTGTCTTTGGCAGTTTTATGCTCTGGCTACTGTCTCTCTGGCATTTTGCATGGTTTTTAGGTCCACTGGGACTAAAATGGAGGGTTAGCTGCTGCCTCAAATTTTCCAGACTGCATAAGACATCTAAAAAAACCCCACACAGAATAGATTTCTTCAGATTCTCTTAATCTTTTGATGATATTATGTTACTGTAGATGATGAGATTTTCAAAATTTTCACAATTTTAAGTTGTGCAACATTATTCTGAAACGTGTTCAGAGTTTGTAGATGCAATTTGTTTAGTGGTTTTTCTTTCAGATTGCTGAAAGGCTTTTGAGAAATGTTCTTTTTATACCCAGTCACGATACTGACCTGCTGTAAATGAACCGAATTAACTGTAAAATGTTTCTCCAGCTGTTTCTTTTTAGAACCACTTAATTCTTCAGCCTTTTGTCGGCACTGTCCAAGCTTTTTGGAGGTGTGTCGCTAACATCAGATTCAAAATGAGCCAATATTTTTCTTAAAATTGTGGATTGCTGCAGTTCTAAACATTTCATACCTGTTCTATGATCTGTCATAGAACAGGTAGAACAGGTAGTCATAGAACAGGTACCCATTAAAATATGGGTTCGAACATTTGCAAACTACTGAATTCTCCTTTTATTTAGATTTTGAAGTTTACTAACATTTTTTTTTTAATTGGAGTTGTATGATACATGTGAATGTAGCTATTATATAGCTATTTCACAATGAAGTGGCCTCAAGGCTATGTGCCAACAGAAGCCACATTCCTGTTTCACTGGATAAATCACTAATTAATATTTAAACACAGGAAGTTTGAGTTTACAAACTCTTCAGAATGGCTACTGCGAGTCTTAACATGCTGCATCTTTCTGTCTGCATCTTTTCGTAATTAAATGTCTTTATGAAAACAGTCATGACTTCGCGTTCGCTGCAAGCACTTTAATGCCGTTGTATATAAAGAATAAAAGAAGAGCAGAGAAATTACCTTTTATATTTATTTATATTCTTACAGATCAACTATAAATAAAGAGATTCAACACCTTTAGCTTATTTAGCTCGACCTGTACATTTCATCAAAGGATCCTGTTCCCCGGAGCTGCAGCGTGACAGATGTCTTTATGAGAGGAGACTGGATAACCAGGAGAGCGCTGAACTCTCTGTCATCACTGAAACACACATAACCACACTTTGAATGTGTTACATAAAGCTAGCTGGGTATTTTTTACTGTTTACGATTTCAATAGTAAAAAATTATTTCGATGGTTTGCTGCATTACCCGGGAGTGAAGCTGATCTGAAGACGCTGGCTGCTGCTGGTGACGCGGTGCTCCTTGGACCCGAGCAGTCCAAAGTCAGGTGTTACTCCGAACACATGGGAGTCCCCTTCAACTGACTCTGCACAGGGTGAATGACACGAGTAGGGCTGACATGCTATGCAAAGCAATTTGGGCTTCACATAGAAAAATAGATTTCCAGGCAACAAAGAGGTTATTGATTGATTTGTAATTACTTGTAATTGATTTCCAGAACACGTGGGCTCCACAGCTGTACAGATTTACTTCTCTGGTTTGCGTCTGGCCCACATAGCAGAGCCCAAAGTCGACGCTGACAGCAGATAAACGCAGTATTGGAAGATCCAGATGAGCACAGAGTGGCACCGTCTGCACAGAGCAAATAGACTATGTGAGGTCATATAGCAGCTCCCAACCGAGCTGTTATACACGCATTGAACAGATGTCCCTAACCTGCAGGGTGTTGTTGCTGTAGTGAATCAGGAGATTCTGCTCGAACCTCAGCTTCATCTGCCCGTTTGCACCGTGGATCAGCTTCACCCCAGGAGGGATTTCTTCGTCTGTCTGTTCCACATGGTCCAGAAGAGGCAGGGAACAGTGGAAGGCCACTTTCACCTAGTATTTAAACAAAAGAGGACAACACTTACAAATAATTGTGTAAATCAAATTCTAATGATGCTGCTGCATCCATGACTCATCTCACCCGCATGCCGTGTTGTGGCTTAAGCACTAAAGACTGATTGTCGCCAGACGGAGGATTCCTGGAGGTGCTGGTCGGACCTTTGGGTTTTGGTTTGACCACTGAAAACGGAGGCTGAGTCCCCAGGCTGAAGTGCAGGGGCATCTCTGAAGTGTTTTTCAGCTGGAAGCTTTGTGTGATGTCAAATTCACGCACTACTATCTGCAAAAAACAAAAAAGAAAAATAAACTGTTCAAAATGAACTTGGGATCAACATCTCATGTGTGCACTTGCATGTCAGAGCACTGTTGATTACTGTTGTACACTTCTCAGACCTACCTCGTTGTCTGAGTTTGCCATCAGTAAATCACCGGCCGAAGCACGAAACTCCAGCACCCCGTCGTCCTCCTCCGCCTGCACTAAAAGCCTGCAGCGACAGGAAGTCAAGAGGAAGATATGCAACTTAATCAGACCACCTCTGAGCTGCTTTTACCTAACCTCAGCTTATTTTAATTTAAGAAACATAAATCGAGCAGGATGCATTAGGTGTCCGGGTGGGGATAAATAGCAGGAATATAATTGCTTACGCTGCAGTCTGAACGGCTGCTAGTAGATCCACTCTGACGGGCTCTAAATCCAAACCCTGAGCCCT